CTCGACACATAGATGTCTTCTTTAAGGGAACGACATGTACCAGTAGCACTCAAACACCGGGGCATGGGAGAACCATCCAGAAATGTGTTAAGAACAAGCAATCAAGCAAACGTAGGGCAACAAACACCAAACAAGCCACACCAACCAGAGCTTGGAGGGAAAACAAAGGAGGGGTTTCTAGGGGTCTTCAGAGGAGGAGTCTTTTGGTCTCAATGGCAGAGTATGTGGAGGTCAGACAATGCACTGCTTTTTATACACAGCCCTAGCTGTCAAGGCACTGAAGGCATCAGGGCCAGGCCAGCTTGGTTTTCTCCACCCCACCATGTTGCCTATACCTGCAGTGCAGCACAGACCAGACCAAACCAGCCCCACCCCAGGAACCTGCGTGGAGACACTGAGGTCAGCCTCTGACCCTGTTCCTCTGCCCAGGTGTCATCATACCTAGTTGCTCCTTGAGATCATCTATTTCTTTCCGTAGCAGCACACACTGACTCAGCCGATGCCAGAGAAAGATAAATGAAGAGTTATATCCTGGCCTCCTCTCCTCTCACATTCTCACTCACCCCCACTCCTCATGTCCCCTACAGCCCTCTGCCCAGTGGCAACACAGGCAGGAAATCCTCAGTGGAAAGAAGGAGGCCTCCATGCCTGTAATGTGGGATGTGAATGGGCACCTAGGTCATCCTGAGCTGGACTCAGAGCCCACCATCTAGTTGGGGCCGGCATTTTTGGAGCCAAGGGAAAGACTTACCCGGGGACAGCCCTTGCTCCAGGTGGTTGCTGCTGCCTTTCCAGAACCGGGGTCTGCACAGGTGGATCCTGCTCACCTGAAAAGAGTACAAACTCCAGCTCCCCAGCCTGAGTGTGAAGTGGGAAGGGCCTGGCTGGATCTAAAGTGAGGCAGCAGCCCCCTCTGAAGGCAGCAAGTTGCACCTGTTCTGTCCAGCAGCTCCACCCCTTTCTCAGAGCCTGCCTTTCCTTCTCCACAGTGTCAGTCCCCCACAGCTATCACTGTGGCTCTTGGTTGGACACTAGCAGAGCTGCAGTCACAGCCAGCCCTGGTAAGAGCTATATGGCTAAACAGGACACAGAAGAAAGGGCTGTGTTCCTCTGAAAGTCTCCTTCTGGAGTTGATATTCCGGGCACTGCTACAAATCACCTGCACCACATAAACCTCAACCCAGGGACCAAGCGGCCTGAGGCCAGTCCTACCCACACCCAGCTTCCTGAGGGAGCAAGGTTGGGTCCACAGAAATGACCTAGAAAGAAGTTACCTCCTCCACCCCTTTCCCCTTCACTGTTATCAAACGCACAGGACTCACCAGAGGGTGCAAGGCTGGAGTTCAAGGGCTGGGAGCTTCCTGAGGGTTGGGGAACTCTGGGGTTTGGTTCACCACTGCTGAATTCTCCACAATGCATGAACAGACAAGGTTTCCCTGGCCTGTGTGTTGAAAGCTAACACAGAAAATTTTCAATGAGTCTGGTTAGGGTGTGTGTGTGTCTGTTGGGGGTATGTGTACAGTGTGCAGGGGCTGGGGTGAGGTGGGGATCTAGGAGGAATACCAACGCTCATCTCACCAGCATTGTCTCTCTTACCAAGGCCCAGCCATGGAGGAAGAGCTGAGCCAGGGAGGAGTATGGATGGGCTATGGGGAGGGCGGTTTTGAAGAAAGCCCAGGCCCCCTGCAAGGCAGGCTTGGGGAGGAGCTGGGAGGGAGGACTTGGGAGACAGATGGACTACACACCCTAAAGCTCAAACTGTAAAGGGTCACCTGACCAAGTCAGTGGCCAGCCCTGCTTTCCATTCCAGCCCTGTCTGGGAAAGAGGCAGGAAATGCACAAAGTGTGGCCAACAGTGACTGGTACCTACCAAGTGCTTTCTTGTTGTCTGCCCGGGCTACAGAGACCCCCAATTTGGCATCCTAATGACAACAGACTCTCAAAGACAACCTCTGAGCAAGGGTCCCAGGGAGCAAGAGCAAAGAACTGTGGGCAGCAAGAGGAGGAGGAGGAGGAGGAGGAAGCAGGCCTACTCACCTGGGCTTGCGGGACAGCATTTGTATTTGGGTCCTTATTTTCACTGGTCACAGGCTCCAACTCTCCTCTCTTCTTGGCCACAGTTCTCCTCCCAGTGCTGCTGTGCTTGGGCTGTTTGGGTTCCAAGGGCAAGAAGGAATACCTCTTGGACCTCCCAAGCAGTGGAACCCCAAGATTGGAGGGAAGGTGGCCAGTTTCAGGGGAGTTGCCTTAAGTCTTTGCCCCTACAGAGAGAAGGCCCCACCCAGGGTCACTCCAAGCCACCCCCCAGGGATTTCTTCTCCTGGATGTCTTTCTTCCTAGGAGTGGCCCTGGACAGGCTCCCTGCAGCTGTAGTAGCAGCAGCAGCAGCACTAGCAGTAGTAGTTAGTAGCAATAGCAGTACTCTTAGCAGTAGTAGTTGCAGTAGCAGCAGCTGCTACTCCTGGGTAGTTGGATCTGCTCCCTCCCTTGCCCCAGAGCACACTTTGCATTTTCTTGGAGGAGCCAGCTTCCAGCTCTCCCAAGACCTGCCTGTCCATGGTTGAGGGGAGTCCGCGAGGAGCGGAGGTCAGCAGAGGGCCAGGCAGAGGGGAAAAAAATATTCTCCCTGCTATGAACACTCGAGCGTCTGGCTGGGTCTCCGGGTTCCCTGGGGCTGCAGGACCTGGCCTGGCCTCCTCCTTTGGAGCAGATGCTCACCCTCATCAGCTGTAGCTCACTGAGCTCATCTGAAGATTTGGGGTTGGAAGAGGGCTGCTGGGCTTCCCCGCTGCCCACCATCTGACTTTTGGTGCCTCTCTTGGACTTCCTCCAGGCCCAGCTCCCCTTGGGCCGACTGGGGTGGCTCAGAGGGGCGGCAGAGACCTGCTGAGCCTCCACACAGCTTGAGGCCAGCGTGCCTATTGCACTGAAGTCTGCATCTGCCTCTGCCCAAATGGTGGACGCTTCAGCAGTGGACCTTTCCAGAGATGGGTATCTGAGGGCACCCCAGGTCTCTGGGCCCATCAGCTGCTGCATGATGGTCTCAGACTCCACAGAGAGGTAGGGCATGAAGTCCTGAAGGTCCTTCTCGTCAGCCAGGGAGCCAGATCTGCCTTCACAACCAGGAAGCAGTGTCCTTCTCACCTCTAACTGTTCCCACTCTGCCTCAAAGTCAAACTCACAGGCCTCAAAGTCTGGGAGGCTGCCCATGCCCTCCCCACTATGCAGCAGCCCCAAGTCAAGTCCCAGGCCCAGACTCAAGCCCTAGGTCCATGGGGCTCCATGTCCTGCAGGATGGAGGCCTGCGGGCTTCCCACTCTCTGCACCAAAACTGTCTGCCTGAATGGAAGTCTCAGGAGAGGAGCTCATGGCACCAGTCTGGGTGGACAGACTCAAGGGAAGACGACAGACCAGTTCCAGGCACTAGCAGCTAGGCCTTGGGGAATGCAGTCATGACAGGAGACACACAAGTCTGCCTTGAGCTCCTCAAGGCTTCACGTGGCTTTGTGGGCCTTTTGTAGGCCCTCATAGCAAGCCTTCTCATTGGTCCACTTTCCTGCCACACAGTACGTGGCTTCTTGGAACCTCCCTCCAGGTTCTACTGACTCTTCGCCAGCCAGTTTCATCAGGAGAGTGTAATTGTCGGTGCCTTCCTCACATCTCCGCTCATCTTACAGCCTCTCATTAGTGGTCCTTGCACTTTTCCAATGAAGGTTCAAATCAATTTTCCATCACCAGGTTCACACAATCTTCTGCACATGGGATGATTAAGTCCTTTCATTGTTGAAAATTGATTTTTAGTTTGCAACTTCAGGATCCCTGAAGGTGTCTTTACTGTGGAGATGCTCACTCCTTTGCATTAACTCATACTGGTAGTAGCTCTTAGTTTACAGACCAATAACTCAAGGTGGCAGTTTTCCTCTGATTGTCAAGTGTTATCACTTACATTGATACACTCCAGGAGTCAGGATCAACACTGAGTTACTTAAATACGATCCTGACTGTATCTCCTGTGCTTTTTTTGTTCTCTTAAGAGACTAGAGAGGGAAAATTTTGTGATTGTGTGGGATCTCCTACAGATTGATTACCACGGGCAATCAAAGCAGCATGAAAATCAGTACCCAGGACACATTAATGGCATCTTGCTGCCTTGCCCAAGTCCCCCACTCACTATACTACAGCTACTTCAACAACCCTAAAGTTATGTGCTGGTTGTGCATTGTTTAACCTAAAAAGACTCCTCCTCTGAAGACCCCTAGAAACCCCTCCTTTGTTTTCCCTCCAAGCTCTGGTTGGTGTGGCTTGTTTGGTGTTTGTTGCCCTACG